ATGATTCCTTTTACAACATGATAATAAAAACAGCATACGTAGATATGCTTCTTTGATTCTCTTTTCTAACAATAAAAATAAAGATTTTTTGGAGGGTACATGAAATTTTCACAACGAAAGGATCTGCAATTCCGGGAATACACAGTGAATCTCGATTTAGTGGATAGTTTGGGCAATTGGGAAAAATTTCCAAAATCCGTTAAACCGAGATATCCGCTATATCGAGAAGGTTTTTATTAAGGTTTATTATGGAACCGTTCTTTGAACTTTATCCGTAAAACCGAGATTTTTAATTACTATCCGCTAAATCGAGATTCACTGTGTACATATTGATGTTGCACACATCAAAGTTAAATGACATGATATAAATGTAAATAAAATGTTTGTTATAAAAATATTTATAAACTTCATTCTATTTATCATTTTTTTACATGACACAAGAAACCGAAAAATCAAAACCCGAAGGCACCAAAGTTAATCATGGTTCGTTCAAAGGGGTTAAAAAACAATCTTATATTAGTATTAAGTATTTATTTTACAAAATTATTTCGCTAATTCATTATTTACATTAAAAAAAATATAATAATATTACTGGCTGGTACTAGTGAACTTGTCACATCAATCGAAAAACAATCGAAATCAAAATAATATAACAAAGTAAATAAAATCTTAAAATTTAAAAATTTAATTCACAATAAACCGATTATTAGGTGATCGATCATAATATTAGAATTGGAAAATATATTGCTATTGATTGTGAAGCGGTAGGCATCGGACCTACTGGGAAAGAGTCGGCACTTGCCAGGGTTTCAATCGTTAATTTTCACGGTAAAGTAATATTGGACAAATATGTAAACCCTGGTGATTGTATAACAGACTATCGAACAGAAATCAGTGGAATAACTAGGGAATTACTCGTAGATGGTAAGGAATATGATATTATTTTTATATATTGTTTCATGTTAATGATATAATATTAATTATTAATTTGTGTTATTGTAAAACTAATAATTTCAAAGATGTACAAAAAGAAGTTTCAGATATAATCAAAGGTAGAATTATTGTTGGGCATTCTCTCAATCACGATCTAAAGGTAAGCAAGATATTTGTGTGAAATAAATTTTAACCAACATTTCTTCCATAAACATGCGCTTGCATTTCTTTTCCCATATCCTTACTCCACATATATGTATGCACAGTTATTATCACTATGTCATCCTCAAAATATGATACGCGACTCTTCACTCCATAGACCTTTTCTTGAACGTTACAATGGTAAGAAACCTTCTTTAAAAACTTTGGCAAAAGCAGAATTAAACATAATTATTCAAGAAGGGGAACATAGTTCAGTATGTATAATGGATAATATATAAGATTTTATCTTTTATTTATCAATTATTTTGAGACTGATGTTCCCTCTACATCATCTTCTATCCTCTAATTTCCATTAATAGGTTCAAGATGCTCAAACTAGTATGCGTTTATTTCGTAAATGTAACAATTTTTAAAAGAATGAAATAATGTGATTCGTGATTATAAAAAATAATTTTTTTTTTGCGTTTAAGATAAAAATGTACGAATGAGTGAATGAATGATTCATTGATCTTGCTTGACTAAAAAAATTACATAGAATGGGGAAATAGTAGTTGGTTAATTTTATAGTATTTGTTTTCCCACGTATAAAAAAATTAGAACTTTTTACAACATCCGATAAGTTGGAACTCGCAATATATCAAATGTCTAATAATAATTTTTCATCCTTGGAAAATATTTTTTTAACGTCTTATTCAATTCTAACAATGATGTTCTACCAATGAAAACATCTTGGCAAACTTTTATAAAAATTAAAAGTGGAAAAAGTACTTTATCAAATAATTGTAATTATTTTCTTTAAGAAAAATATTTTTCTAAAGTTCTTATAACGTATGCTTAATTTAAATTTAGTGATGTTCATTGATTATATTTTTCTTTCAAAAGATATATATTTATTTACGGATGTAATTGTAATCATAAAGCAAATGAAATTTTGATGCTTGTGATGAATGCTAATCATGTGGTGAATTTATTAACAAAAAACTCGAGAATTTTGTGATTTCAGTGAATAGACAAAGAAAAAAATATTTCACAGTGGAAGATGATATTAAAGAGAGGATATTAAGATTCACTTCAGGTGATCTCTTTAAACAAATTAAATCACATATATAAGTATTTGCTTCAAAAGGTCTAAGGACAGGAAAAGGATTATTAAATACAGCAATGAAATATTTGATTTCTAGTTTTTGAATTAATACTTCATGGGTCTCGTGATGAATTGGTTGCTATAACCAATTTGTTGTTGGAATAAAAAAGTCACCAAATGAATGTCATTTGTTTTAGTGTTATTATTGTTTATTTCATTTATTCATTAATATTCATTAATGGATCAAAAGATTTGTTGGTAATCAATAGATAAGCAATGGCGGTGATAGCAATAGGCAATTCTAATATTTAATTCAGTTATTAGAATACATGTATCAGTTGTTTTACCAAATACACCATATTATATTTTTTTTTAATGTCGGTTTTGTTATTTTATCTCCCAGGAAAGCTTCGATACCAAGGGTTGAATGTAGTCTTTTCATCTTTGCCATTATTTTTATTAATGGTCCCAGTCCTTTACCTGAAAAACATCGCCACGCACCATTTACCACCACCGTTATGTTTTACAGTAAGATTAATATTTTCAAGACTTTGTACCAGGTATTCTCCAAACCATCATCCCTTCCTTTTTTCCTATACACCCACCAATTTAAGCGGCTTATTCTTTGCTGTTGATTAATTAAACGATCAGATACAGGATATTATGGTCTTAGTTAAACCAGTATTTTCATTTAAATTGGTTCGGCAGATTTACGATTACCTTTTTAACAAATTTTTTTTCAATCTCTTTTCTTGGATGCCATTTTTTTCCCGTAGGTTTTATATCGTCCTAACTTGGCAAATCCAACTACACACCTATAAAACTAATTATTTGGGATTGATATTTTTTTATTAAAAAAAGTATAAAGTCATTGAACTTGTCCACATTATTCTAGCTTCTTGACTCAAAGATATTAAGAAATCTTCTAATTCTCGAATTAAATAATAGATTATTGGTAGATTTTGATTTATTTCGCTTCAGAGATCATCATCCCAACCATGTGGGTAACAATAGAGGGTTTTCATGGCGTGAAAAGGATAATTTTGTTAAATATGATGACACCTGAATTTAATATTATTATTTTACAATCTGAAATTGAATGCAATCGAAAAGGGAACTCCAGTATAGACTTTGCCACTAAAAATTTCCCATTAACACTTGTGTGACAAAGCAAAAGTAGTGTTCCCGTTCATTCCATATTCGAATATTCGGATACAATGTTCAAATTATATTCGAATGAATATTCATTATAATTTTTTCAAGTATTCGTAATTTTTCAAATACTCGTGATTTTTTTCAAGAACTTGTGACGATTAAGAAGAATGTTACAATACTCATATTTTGTTATATTTATATTAATAATTGGTTGTTAATTATTTTTATTAACTAAATGATTAATTGAATTGGTAATAGTAGTTGCTTGCTATTTTTTTTTTTTGCATATCTTTTTATTACATATACCCTCTGGACGGTCCAGAGAAATTAGTGCTTTTACTTGACAAATCCGGTATGTTTATCTTCATCATCATTAAAGTATTTCCAACTATCTTTAGACCTTCCGTGCGTTTTAGATGTTTCACTGCTTGAACACGATTCTAATGAAGGATTCGAGTCTTTCTTTTTCATTTTCAATATATAATATAGCATTGTGTGTTGTCACTATTATCTGAAGGCATTTAAAAAAAATTTTTCAAAAAAAAAAAACAAGCCCCAATAAGTATTTCGAATATGGCCTAGGCAATAGAAAAAAAGCAAATTTGTGTTATATCGAGTTTTTTTAATCCAAGATCTCCTCATATCTCAAGAGTTACTATTGAGAACATTCAAAAGTATATGAATCTCGCATGCATTATGAAATTATTAATATTGCATCATTATTATTACTATTACCTAAAACCACATATGAAATTCGTTATAACGATACTTGGATACAATGATCACGAGACTAATATACGGATCATATTAATTGGCACGTCATTTTCACTCTTGTCAGCCACTACTAATTAACTACACCTTGTAATGAATGATTGCATCATATCATCAACACTTAATAAAGAAAAAAAATGCCAATTCTTATGAACAACTTCATTATCATTCAAAAATATTTTTTTTTTATACGATTATTTGCTGTTTTCGCTACTGCTTTATTCCACCACCACCACTCGCATTAGTATAATAATATCAGATATGCAAGTCGCGTAGGTTATAGATACAATAAAACTTATAATGATCCGATAATATGTGTATAATAAATAAATACAATAGATGGACGTCTCTATATCGTGCGTTAACTTTATACTATTCCAATTATTATTATCATCATCATTATTGGATTTGTAAAACCTTCCGTATATCCAAAATTAATGAAATGAGAATTAGATTTACTATATCCATTTATTATTTATTGCGTGTATTCCAAAGGATATTTATTGTAGAATGGATTCCAATTTTTTTATTGGCTTTGGAGAATATTAAAAAATCAAATTCTTTATATTAAAATTTTATATTTTATCAACTTGTCTCGTAATATGTCTCAACTTACAGGTGAACAATTTCACTCACAAAATACGCAATCGTCAATAGTACGAAAGTTATCAGAATATCAAATCTTAATTTCCATTCAAAAACAAAATACTGAAAGTTTATCAGGTGAAAATAACAAATGTAGGGATTATACATCAACTATTAATATTAATATTATTTATTATTTTGTAAATGCATGCATGCATTTTTTATATACTTGGATAAAAAAATGAGAATAATCAAAAATTCTATAATTTTTTTTATTATATTTATTGCTAATACTAATACTAATGTTTGGTTACATTTTATCTACTGCGAAATTTCTATATATTTAAATTTTAATTATCTTTTTTTTGAGATTTTTTTTTGGAATAACAAAATCATCCATGTCATCATCATCATCAACAAAATTTTCTTTTCTTTTTCCATTATCATTAATTGACCCTTCCTTGTTCACTTTGTTACTACTATTAGCACTAACAGTTGGAGGATGTGGTAGTGTGTATATCTTATCCAGTCTTGTTTGGAAGGTCTTTTGTTTTTGACTCTTAATAGCAATGGTATTACGATTCTTTGTATTAAGCATTTTTGGTACCATGGGCGTTGCTTTCTGGAATTCATTGCGAAAGTATTTCGATATTGTTGGTGATGATTGAGGGGGTGCTATATGTTCTTTAATATGGTCTACTTTATGACCCACTAAAATAGGTGAGTATGTAGTGGCTTGCTGACTATTGGAGGTAACAGGTTTAGATAATGATTGTTGTGATTTGTCATGATGATGGTTTTGTGGTGGTGAGTTTCGAATTATCGTTGAATTTTTATCGTTATCAACTTTTTGATCGATAGTGGCAGTAATAGGTATGGAAGAGGGTATTTCTTGGCATTGACTATCATGATCATCATCGTCATCATCGTTTATTTCAACAGGTTGTGATTTTGAAGCTGGTGTCTCAAATACATAAGTGTTATTTTCATTACGATGTTGATTTGTTAAAATTGGTTTATCGTCGTCATCAGCAGATATAAATTCATCTATGTAAAGTTGATTATTATCTTTATCAAGAATACTTTCTGTAGTATAAATTTTTTTTGTAATAACGGACCACATTAAATCGTCAATAGTGCCCCTTGCAATAATGTATTTTACAACCACCGTATCAGTACGGCCAATTCTGTGAGCACGATCTTCTCCTTGAAACAAAGCACTAGGGTCCCATGTCAATTCAGAGAATAACACAATGTCAGCAGCAGTCAAAGTAATACCATTATTTGCAGCCATAATTGATAATAGAGCAACTCTTGTCTCATCGTTTGTTTGAAAATTGTGGCAATTTTTTTCTCTGTCCTTTGATTTTGTTTCACCATCAATGCGCATATAAGATTGTGGACCATTGGTTTCCATGTAACTTTCCATTCTATCAAGAACAGATTTGTGATGAGCAAAGACAATGAATTTTTTATTTGTGTTCTCATATAAATCTTTGATGTAATTAATCACGAATGGACATTTTGCTTCGCCAGTTAGAGAATATATTCTGGACAAGCCCTCTTGATATTTTTTTGCAAATTGGTCAGATTTTTCTGAATTTAACGAATTAGCAATTTTGCTATACGATTGGTCAGTCTTTTCTAACAATTTTTTTATTTTGTCTTTCAGTTTTGGCTCGATCTCATCACACCACACCATCTCACGTTCTTTTTCTGGCAGATCATAACCAGCATCAGCTTTTAGTCGCCTGATCAAAACCGTTTTTTTTAAGACAGTATTAAGTTCTTCCAGATTAGTGGCACCAAGCTTGTTCCATCTATTTAAACGATGATCTTTGTATGCACCACAATACCTAACTGCAAATGACAATTCATTTGAAAAGTTTTTTGGATCAAGTGAATTTAACAGTGAATATATTTCGATTGGTCTATTCGGAATTGGAGTCCCAGTGATCAAGATTGCACGTTTCACACGTTTAATAATAGGAATTAGAGCAGATGATTTTTGAGTTTTTTTATTTTTGATGTTGTGAGCTTCATCTGCGATCACTATATCGAATCGATAATTTTTTGTCACATTTTCAGATTCTTTGACAAACCTTTCGTAACCACAGATGACAAACATGATACGATCTTTTTTCACAATCTTATTACTATCGATGGTCTCTATTTGTGACTCTGGTAGTTTTAACCATTTGATGATTTCATTTTTCCAGACGTGTAGCACAGATTTAGGACAAATAATAAGAACTGGCCAGTTTGCCCTATAGTAAGAGCATAAAGCAAGAGCTTGTAAAGTTTTCCCAAGACCTTGTTCGTCACTCAACAAAACACGACCTTCTCTGACCACCATTTCAACGAGACCTTCCTTTTGATGAGTATGAAGATTATTCCATAGATCTTTTTCAACACGTGACAATACTTGTGAAGTGGCAACCTCTTTTGACACGCGAATTCTCTTTTTTAAATTTGATTCAAGAGTAGTCAGTGAAAAAGGTTTTGGCTGGTACATATTTGCATTAAAAAAAAAAGAAACTCTTATTTTTTCAATGTAAATTATGATTTGTTGATGATTTGTTGATTTGTTGATAATGAATAAACAATAATAATGAAAGATCGACAAAATCAATATGCAACATGAGGGAGGGCTTTTATGGCTGCTGATAATAAGTAAAAAGTGATAATTTAAATTAGTAAGGTTTGTGCATATGCTAGCTAAACTTTGACAAAAAACAAGTTATATTACATGTATTATTATATTTATTATTATTATCACAAGAAAAACAAGCATCAACAAACATAAGAGTTTTTATAGAAATAACTTTATTTTTTTTTTAATTATTTTTATTTTGATTGATAAAAAAAATTTAATTTCATGTCTTAGAATTTAGAATTATCATAGTTTTTTTTTTATAACAAAAATAATAAGATGACAGACAAGAAGAGGTAGTAAAAATAATGAAATAATATTATCAATATAGTCCATCATTCATCAAATATATTTATAAGTTTTTTTTTTTTTTATATTATTAACAATAAAAAAGAATAAATTTGGAACGAGAAAGAAAAATCTATTGAAATTTTAATATAAATAAAAAATTTTTCACTAAACTACTAAAACATTAAAAAAAACACTTCTCTTTTCTTTTTGATTTTCAAAGTAATCCAAAATAATAAATTAAAATAAAATAAAAATTTTTTAGATTTTTCCACAAGTTGTAACATGTCTTTTCCAAGCATCTTTTCGAGAAAAGGGTTTTCTACAGACACTACATTCATGTACTTTTTCGCCTTTATGAATGCCATTGATATGTCTCTTTAAGTCATGTTTACGAGTGAATCTGGAACCGCAATTTGAATATTCACAAGCAAAAGGCTTTATACGATTAGGATCATGCGTGGACCTGTGCGTTTGCATATTGAATTTGCGATTGAAGCCTCGGCCACACTCGGGGCAAAGATGTTTTTTCTCTTCGGTATCATCTTCTTGTTGTTGTTGTTGTTCAGTTACACTTGTACGCGGACGTTTTTTATTACGTTGTTGTTCTTGCTCTGCTGTTAAATGATCTAATTGATTTTCATGTTTTCTGATAGCATCAGATGCTGATGTAGCAGCAATAGTATTAACACCAACGCTTCCATCACTAGCAACCATTAATCTGGAATTATTATGAACCGTACTTATCATACCACCAGGATTTGAAGATATCGTGGAAGGTGATGCAGATGATAGGATTTTTTGTGTTAGCGAAATAGTAGTTTCATCAATATTATTGTTGTTGTTTGATTCTTCTCTTTTAATAAGTGAGAAACTAGTATTCAATAAATTATTAATATTGTTATTGCTTGTTTTGCTTGTTGATATTGATTGTGTCATTATAGGTGTAGTCGCTGATTGTTTTGACGTTAATGTTGGAGAAGAAGAAGTTGTTGCAATTTCTGATGATGTTGGATTTATATTAAGATTGGAAGTATTGATATTATCATTATTATGATTTAGGCTATGATCGTTATCATGAATTTCATTATTATTAATTGTATTTGATTTTGATAAAGGATTATGAGCTTCGTCCATTTCCATTATTATTGGACTGAAATTATCAAAATTAAGAATAAGAGGAGTCGAAGAGCAAGAAAATTGACGGTACTGCGGTTGTTGCAAATGTAACTGTTGTAATTGTTCAGTTATATTTATATACGATTGAGGACTCGGTAATATATCTTCTTCTGTTACTTCTCCTAACTGTGATATTTGTTGAGAGTCTTGTGATGTAGGAAATAAATTAAACCAGGAGGAACTCTGACCAGAATTATCAAATATTTTTGGATCGCTATCGTTTACTGGAGTACTGATAATGTTGTTGTTGCTGCTGTTAATGTTGTTGTTATTGTAGTTGTAGTTGTTGTTGCTGCTGTTGTTATTGTAATTATTATTATTGCGAGTGTAAGGTGTGTTAAAGGTGGTAAGAGGAGTGGGAGGGATGAATGGAGTTGAAGTTATACTTGAGTTATAATCTGCTTCCTCAGCAGGATTTATATATGGAGGGGTACTTATATATGAAGGACTAAGTTGAGAAGTACTTATATATGGGGTACTAAAATATGGAGTTGAAGGTGTACCAACCGTTGGCACAGTAGGAGTAGCAGCGGTTAGTGTGTAAGAAGTACCAAATTCAGAAGCTGTATTTAAGTTGTCACCTAAAAAATTAGGCGTAGTTATTGTGTCAGATAAGTTTGTAGTATTATTTATTAAAAAGTTATTTATATTATTTGTGTTTGTTGCTGAATTATGTTGTATTTGTGGTTGTTGAATAGTTTGTGGAAATGAAATTCTTGGGGAAAATAAAGGAACAGATGAATTATTAATATTAATGTTATTATTAATGTTATTATTAATATTATTAATGGTGTTCCAATTATGAATGTTGTTATTATTGTTGTTGTTTCTAAATGAATTAGAATCTGCTTGGCCTTTTGAACAATAATTGAAGTTGTTGTTAGGATTTTTATCAGCCACCGGAGAACTTGATAGAAGAGGTGAAGTGTTGGTGGTAGTAATTATGGGAAAAGAAATTTGGAGTGGCAGTGTGTTAATAAAATTATTTGATTGGTTTGCGTTGGTGTAACCAATATTATGTTGTGTATCGGTGATATTATAATCGAAATTTGTAGTTGATGGAGAATCAATTAATGATAATACCGGCAAGAAAGGTGATGAATCTTGTTGTTGTTGTTCTTGTTCTGGTTGTTGTAAAAAATTGAACATTTTAATTGATTGAATAAAAAAAGGTAAAAAGAGGAAAAAATCCAACAAGGTTTAAATAAATTAAAGGTTTCCAAGACAAAAATTATATATATATTATATTTATATATATATATATTTATGTGTAAGGATTTTTTTTTTTTAAATAAAAATGAAACTAAAATTAAAAATTAAAGATCAAGATTTATTTCGGAGAGGAAAAAAAAAATTGAAATAAATAAATAATAAAAGAAGAGGAAAAGAATATTTTTTTGTTGAAAATAAAAAATTATTGTTATTACAAATTGTACAATTGAAGGGGAAAAAAATCGTGAAAAAAAAAAGAAATTGATTATAAATATATATATATTTTCCTGAATAAATAAAAGAAAGAAGAGAGAAATAAAAAACCTTAAAAAATTTATTATTTTTTTTTTTTGGTTGAAAAAAAAGAAAAGAAGGAAAATTAAAACGACTATTTATTTAAAAATTTTTTTTTTACAAAAATGTTGTTTATTTATGAAATTTTTTTTTTTAAAACAAATTTTTTATTATTAATTAATTAGTAAATAAAAATATGAATGTGAATACGTAATATACCTTTTATTTCTATTTTAAAATTAAGCTGTATATTTTAAAATTGTAAATAAATAACTGTCAATGCTTTTTTATTTATCAGGTTTTAAAATGTGATGATTCGAAATGATTAATAAATAAATATGCTGTGAAATTAATTGAAGGAAGAAAGAAAAGAAAGAATTGAAAGATTTTTTTAAATTTTTTTGAAATTTTTTGAAATTTGAATTTCTTTAGTTAAAAAAACTCAAGAAATCAAAGGTTGAAAATGAATATTTCTTAAAAACTCTGCGACGCCAAGTTATTTTACAAAATCAAAAAATTTTTTTTTTGTATATTTGATATATATATTATTAATATGAAGTGTGATATTATAAAAAAAATATGATTTTCATTTATGGAATAGAAACTCCGCAATAGTAATTAGAAATTCTTTTGTTTAATCAAATAAACTGACTTATATTGTCAGACAAAAATAATTTTCTCCAAAGAATTTCTTTTTTCTTGAAACGCGCATTATTGAGAAAATCAAAATAAAAGACCGACCTTATCTTGTCAGACAAAAATAAAGATGCTATTTCTTTTTATTTATTGATTGAAAGTCTATTGAGGTAAATTGGCGTATGTCGTCGTAGTTAATGGACGTACATTAATTATCGTGTGTTACAAGTAAAAAACGTAATTTGAAACATTGTGCTAGCAGAAAAATTAATTATGGGGTTCAAAAGTAACCAGTTACACAATGCACCTCACCTTAATTCTAGTTTTTCAGGAATTTCTAGAACAATACACTCTATTTTGAGCGAACACTTGTGATCCTATCAATTAATCAGCCAAAACTTGTTCTTGTTTCTGGTCCCCAGTTTCTCGAAAAGCTCCTTTGTTTCGGCTCTCGCAGATTTTAGCAGATTGCAAATTGTAGTTTTGCTGTTTCAATTGATTCTTGAACGGAAAACCCTCGATTTCATCTGCAATTTCACTTGTATAACAGTCACCGGATATTGTGGGGATTTTCTCCATTTCGTGAATGAATTCATTGTTATCAAGGTAACGTCTCACTATGTTTTTGTGGATCCATTCCTACAACATGGAGTTGAAAGGGTTGATTACTAGCAATGACAAAATTAAAAACAAACAAATATACCCGACTTGGCATAATACTTTTGGCAAAGAGACGAAGGAATTTACTCATTCTTTAAAACTTCATATACCAAGCAACAGTTTCAGGAGCTGCTAAGCACGATTGCTTAGCCAAGATTATTCAGGATTTCAGATATTGCGAGTCGTCAGATACTGGTTAATATATTTCGTGCTTGCCTTTTAATTTTAATTGATGAGTTATCTAGCCTAGCAAACCAAGAAAACAGAATGGGTAGCGTGCGTACAAATTTGGATCACTTGATTTTGTACCCTGAAATCCTGTGGCGTCAAAATGTATGCATATTATAGCATTCAAACATCCCAAAATATTCAAGACTTTCTCGGAAATTTTTCCCAAAATATCAAAATAATAAAAAATGGAAATTGATCAAAGGATAATTTTTTTATATTATTGTTATATAAATTTATAAATTATTAAAAATTATTTTACCACACAATATAATTATTATCTTATCTTTATTATAAATAGTGGTTATAAAATCATTGTATCATTTGTCATCAAGAATAATAGATTTTCGATTCACATGAGCTCCTTCAACATATATATAAACTAACAAATAAATAATTTTTTTTTGAAATTTAGGAAATTTTAATTTATGGATAAAGAAACCGTGTAACATTTTTATAAATTCAAAAATAAAAATGTATAATAATGAATTGTATAGTATGTTCATACATTCTATTCTTTTATCCTTTCTGGAATTAACCAACAATATTAAAAGATATCAATATCAAACTATTAATAGTAGTGATCATGTATTTATACTATTTTATTATTATGATGATTAATGCGATTGTAAACGTGTCATCCTACATTTAATTTATGAATAATCTTAATTCATAATTACTCACAATTTTAGCATATTATTTAATTAGCATATTATTTAATAAGCAAAACAAACAAACAAAAAAAATTTAGTGTTGGCAAAAGTCAATTGACGTCCTTTATAAAATTTTGGGGTTGAATATACCACGTGACAAGAAATTTATTTTCCATTATTATTATTATACATTACTATATAATTATTTCACTTAATAGAAATTCCAATCGTCAAGATTCTGTTTAATTGATCAATTTATGGTAATTGACCACAATCAGTGATTTTAACAGTTTTAGATGGTGTGCCATCTTCTGATCCAAGTTTTTCAATGGCTTGAACTACGCTCATTCCTAAACATTAAATTATGAAAACAATTAATAGGTCAATAATGTAGTAAATAATATTATATTCATATTATTATAATACCAATATTATTAACCTTCAACAACTCGACCAAAAACAACATGTTTATTATTTAACCAACTGGTATTGGCTGTACAAATAAAGAATTGAGATCCATTGGTATTTGGTCCAGCATTAGCCATTGAAAGAATACCTTTTGATAAATAAGGAAGAAATAAGAATAATATGATTATTAGAGATAATTTCTTAGTTTATCAACCAATTATTTTATAAATAAAATTTTTCTCAAGTACCCTCTCCGGTGTGTTTCAAGTTAAAGTTTTCATCATCAAAATGTTTTCCATAAATCGATCTTCCACCTGTACCATTATGCTTGGTGAAATCGCCTCCTTGAATCATAAATTTAGGAATGATACGATGAAATTTTGAATTCTTGTATGTGTCTCCTTTCTCTCCAGTACATAATGCTCTAAAATTTTCAGCTATGATGATGACGATAATAATAAACAATGTTAAATTAATTATTAATAATAAATTAATACTAAAAAAAAAAACAAAAGACAATTTAATTGCCTGTTTTTGGTACAACATCGGCTCTTAACTCAAGAACAATACGCTTTTTCACATTAAAAACAAACAACTTAGTAAATTACTGCTCGTTCCTCATCAGGTAAAGTTTTTGGCAACTTACTCCAATAGGTTCGTCATCAGCGGTAACATCCAAGAAAACTTTTGGTTTTGCAATTGTTGTTAAAGTTTTAAAAAATGTTGTTGCCGTAGGAGTCGTTACAAATAATTTTTTGGTGACATTATTCAAAAAAAATCCCGCCATTACTTTTTTATAAAAAAAATTTTTTAAATTGTGTAAATTTTTTTAATAAGATGGAAATCACATGATTTTCTGCGGTAAGGGAGCGTCAACTTGGAATTTGACCAAACTCATCCAATACTATATAATAATAACTAACATAATAAAACCATAGTAAAACGGGAGAGAATTTTTGTATCAGCTCCTGAACCTGGCGGCGGGGGATTTTCTTTTTAGTTAAAATTGTAAAAGTATAGATCATGTAAATAACATAAGCCCCAAAATAATTTTGATAATTGTGGCGTTGAGCCATTCTCAACATTTTGTACAACTATGTTAATTTGTGGCGTTAAGTTTTTTTTATATATATTATTTATAATAATTAACATATAGAAAATGATAATCGGCATAAAAACAAAAAAATTGATATTAAAAACCGAACCTAACTAAATGCGGCGAAAAAAATATTCCTTTAAAAAAAAAAAGAACTTGAATTTTTTGTTTTTTTTGTTTGTATATAGAACACATTTGTGTAACCCATAATCTATTTCTCACTTGCCACAAGTGTGTTTATCTTATCATTTATCTTATTTTGATCTACTACTTGTAATCAATTTTGTTACACTAAATTAATTTTTTTCTTATGAGTCATTATTGTATAAAATAAAAAATTGAATGCAAAAAAGAGGCGTCGTAATCATAATCACAATAATAATAATAAACATATGATTATGGTTACCAGGATCAATGTTCAATGTTCAATTCAATGTCCTATATAGATACTGTTTTATTAAAATATAGTTTTTTTGGAAAAAAACAAGGTATATCTTACAAAATTTTTTTGACTGTGAATTGTCAAATGGATTGTTTCTGTATAATTATAATATTTAATATTAGTATAGTATGCGAATTTTTTTCCCGTATTGGGTAAATCGATATCATGCGCCACATGCATTCAATATTAAAGTTTTCGTGCAACAGAATACGATCTTATAAACAAAACATTAAATTTTATATTTATATATAAATATAATTACTACAATACTAACAATAATCACCAATCAATTAAACATAAATCCATAATTATAAATTTTATACTCTTCAACAAGAATAGTAAATAATATTACATCACTTATTTTTCTTAAATTGGTTCAAGAAGGAATTTTCTCTTCGCTTTTCCTTGACATAAACAAAGAAATATGGGGAGAAAAGGATATACCCTAAAAATAAAAATTGAAAATAAAATCTGCATTCAAGTTTTACTATGAAAAGCGGTATGATTGTTAAACCAAAAATTCTACGTGAAGAGTAAAGCAAATAAATGTTTTCATTATTATTGGTTAATAAGATTATTAGATATTGTGTGATTCGATCCCAAAACATCCACGTTGCGGATGTTTTTGAGCACTATTTTAACAAAAATATTGACACATAAAAAGGTCTCCGTGTCGATCGTTTTCCGTAAATTCTAACCAAGTTAATATTAAGCGATATTTCTATATATCGTGTTACTATACGAAAAAAAATGCAAATTTGCCCACCCCTAAGATACTAGTGGTATTTAACTCAAAATCCTTTTCTATCGAAAGGCATTTACTCTCATATAATTAAATTTTATTAAATGAAATAAACTAACTGCTAAATTTTGTTTTGGTAATGAACTATTTGCAATATATTCAGTACCTTTCAAAGCTAAATTATTCGATGACTTGTCAAAAAAATGCAATGGTGGCTTTAAATTTTTGGAGGAATTTAGTTCATCATTTATAAATATCGTTACGGAAACAAGAAATAACATTATTATTATTATTATCCCTTTTTTTTACTATTGTGACAGGCATCGTTTAGCGCTCATTAAAACAAATTGTTTGAATAATTTTATACTTTTGATCTCGGCACAATAAGCACAATATAACAAGTATGTGCTTATCAATAGAACAAGGACAATGCCGAAAAAAGATGTTTTACTGGGCAAAATGGGTATGATTTCTAAGCCAAAGCGCTCTATCTAAAGAGTTACATACAAAGGTAGTGTTAACTCAAAATCATATGATTTTCAGTGTTGACCTCGCTACTATTGAAAAGGCTGGGGTATATGAATTTCAAATAATGTTACGTGGTTTATCTTTTTTAAACATTTGCGGTTGTCTTGAATTATTTTAAATGATTTAATTTAATTATAATGCATACATCATATAACATTAGATTATACACTGTATATCATCAGACTGTATGTCTATAAATTTCAAATACATAGATGCCATCGGATTTTTTTTACTTTAAATTTTCGAAAAAATACATGTGGGGGAAAAGATCCACAATCAAATTCTAGTATATAAGTGAAATATGGGAAATTACAATATTGTTTTCGTTCATTTCAGATGTATGAGATGAATAAATAGTGATTAATATCAAAATATAAATATATTTACTTCTAATAATTGATAAGCAATAATGCATGACCATCATAGAGGTCGCATCCATCGAATATTCATTCGTTTTATATTCATTCGATCAATTAAATTTAATACCTGGATAATAATTAAAATAAATTGTTTAAATTAATTATTCAGTGAACGTTAACAAAAATTTTAAATTTATTAATCATTTGTTACGTTCGAATAAAATTGGATTAAGTTTTGTTCTTTTTGAGATCATTGTATTTCTCACTTGGAGTGGACATTGCAGGTGCGCACAAGTATTTGGTAGTTCCACTATTACTATATATATTAATTTTTTTTAGGCTGATTTTCCTTTTACCAATTTTACCAACGTGGCATATTCATAACAACAACATCAAAAACAACATCAGCTGATTCAAAATCCATCTCATGAACATCATCTGCTGTGTTTTTGCATTTTTCCTT